TAGGAGATATATTTTTTTTTCTTTCATCTCTTAATTTTTTTAATTATAACTCAACATAAATAAAATTTTCCATCACAGATATTACTGATATCAATATTTATTTGTTGAGCCTTGGTCATTGTTTATCAATCTCCTATAACTTCTATAACTCCTGTACCCCCTAGATCTCCTGGGCCCCCTATATGCTGTACATCTCCCTATCTATTATATCTGCTAGGTTTGGTTCCCTAGCACTTAATCGAGTTTCCGGGGATATTCTCGGAACGCATCTAATCAATTTCACATTCCAACACCTATCCGTACATAAATATGTAAAATTAATGTAGCATATATTGTTTATCGGTCTTAATTTGAATATAAAAAGATCGAAGTTCATTCAAACATGACAAATCTAGTCATTATTTTTGTTTCTTTTTAATAAACATGATTAGTATGATTTGTCTATGAATATTTTGTAAGCTGAGATTTTATATAGTAATATAATAAGTTTAATGGAATTACACGCATGACCTGCTAAACTTTTAAACTTGATACACATGTCCAGCAATATTGCGCTCGAACATACTGTGATGCTAACGTAAGAACATCAAAGAACAAGAAACGATTGTCGAATTTTTAATCTGCATAAAGCTACGCATATGTATGCATATACAAATCACGTAACCAAAATGTTGACATTAACGCTCAATTATAAATTCTCTTGTTTTCATGATTAGAATCATTAAACAGCATTTACTTGTTTAGCTTCACTAACCACCAATCAAAGAACATCTAAGAATAATTTATTCATTTTTATTGTACAAAATGAATTAAACATGTACAGTTTCAAATTTGAGATATAGTTACCCATGAAAAAAAATTTTAAAAAAATGTGCATTTGAACGCGTTCTTTTTTTTTCGAACATGATTTCGCTAGAACATATGGGTGTTTTATAAAACGCGTTTCAACGGGTTTTTTATAAATAAAAACGCAAAAATGCAAATCTAGAACGCGTTCTGTGAATTGCGTTTTTCCTGAGTCGAAACATGTTTTAATTTTCGATAAACGCGTTTAAATCATTGAATATATTTTAAGAAGCGCCGATGACCAGATTCGAACTTTGAACATATTAATTGACTTACTTAGTGGAGTTGCGCCATACTTACAGATAGCAATATTATGATTACACTTCTATAGAAAGTGAATACAAAAAGAAATTTCTATTTTATTCGGTGCTTTCCGAAGTTTCGAAATACTTTCTCTGCCTTTTCCATTCCATATAAATGACACTACATATCTAGAGTTAATTTCAATAGTATCTAGGTTTAGCATTTTCTTTTCAGCTTATTTTTAATGTTAATTTCCTGTAACTTAAATATAAAATCAATCCAAATTATGAGAAATTACTTTCAAAAGAAATTCAAAATTATTCAAAAGAAATATTTTTTAAAATTATTATTTGAATCAAATAAATTTTGTAAATGTAAATTGCCCTTCCCTAATATTGTCTGATAATAAATAATGATAATTTAAATTTTTTTGTTCTTAACTATGTGAATATTTCGATTTTTAATATAATCTAGGTAATTAGTGACCTTTTTATTTGATCCATCACTAGATGAAATACTGACAAAAACTTCTAGATAGCATATCTGTATAAATATTCAAGCTGTCAGGAGAGAAAAGAAGAAGAACAATAAACTATTACCTAAACAAAGTATAGTAAAAAACAAATAAAAAATAGTGTATGTTCATTCTTTTACACTATATTTTTTATTTAAAAAGCGAATTTAGTATACAAATTAAATTTTATTTCTAAAGATTCAAAAAAAGAAATGATTCTTGAAACACTAATATTCTTTGATTTGACCCTTTGAAGTCATTTGACAGAGGCACTTTTCATAATTCTTCGTATATTCCGAAAGAAAATGTTTTATGGGTAAAAAATGCGTTATTAAAAGGAAGTTTAAACTCATCCAAAATAATGCGTTAAAATGAGTTTTCTCAAATCGTTTTTTAAAACAAAAACGATGTTTTCTTTCAAACACGTTTAAACACTTTTATTAAAACGCGTTTTCAAACAAAAAAACGTCTTGAAAAATAAATGAACACGAAAAACGCCTTCTTTTCTTAAAATTTTGCGTTTAAACGCGAAAATAGCGTTGATTTTTAAAAACTTTGCATTAAAACGCATATTTTCTCAAGTTTTTTTTTCATGGGTAGTCTTTGTTTTTGTTAGTTGAGATCATTGTAAGCTTGTTGTATAAAAATGAGAAGTAACTACCAATATACACGAAATGATTTCTTTCGAATAAAACTTCAAACTATCGCTCGCGGAAAACCTAGATTATTCATTACTCACAAGATGCTACATCAAATATAAGTAATTTCGTTTTTTTTAAATTTCTTTCAATAATAAATATTAATTGTCATTACGAATCAGAGACCGTTACAAACAGGGCAAAATATAGAGATCAATCATGATAGTTTTGTCTATCAAATGATATACGGTAGATTTTTCAGTCAATTATGTGAAGATTATGATCGATTACAATGCATGTCATTATATGCGTCAGTCGCTATGAACTCTGTCACTGTCTAATTCGGACAATACCACTGTCCTCATGTTTATATTATTTAATTCAATTATAAAAATAAAAATACTGGCTAAAGAGGAATATTTTCTGACGGTTTTGGTACATGCATAGTTTTGGCAAACGATAATCAAAAGTAATAAATGATGACGATAGAATTTCATTTTTTGAAAGTTAAAAAAATAAACGATTATTAATAATCGATTATGGAATTTATTTCAAGATTTCATCAAGAAACCATTACAATTAAACTAATTTCATATCAGCATGCTTTGATGAAACGAGTAAATGAATTGGCTCAACACAAAATAAATCATTTGATCTACCCATGCAATAAAAACCGCATGAAAATCGGCGGTTAACCGCGGTTATACCGGTCCGGTTACTGGCTCCCATGTCAGTGTAATTTTCGGCAAAACCTGTTGCGGTATTTACAACATGGGTAATCTTAGATGTTAATAGTTGACAATGAGCAACTAAACTACAATTATCTCCGACAAAAAAATAGAATTTTTTTTTATCATAAGAATGTTTAGAAATTTTCAATACATATTTTGAATACTTATGATAAATTTGATTAAAATTAAATTCTCTATCAGTCATAATTCGACTGTTATTTTCGTTATCTTCATCATCGTTTTTATTTGTTCGATTAATTTTATTTGATAATTTTTTATTCATACGCTTAATAACATTATTTGACATTAAAAGTATCATAATACTTGTACATATGTCAAGTAAACCTGTTAATTCTTGATCTAGCCGAGAATCTTCATTAATATTTATTAAGAGCCATTCCGCGTAATCCACAACCTATTCATGTAGAAGTTGCTCAATCGATGGAAACCGATTTGACTCCTTTATGTATAGGTTCGTAGGGGAAAGAGTTTGATGAATTTCTGCGCAAGCCGTTTCAAAAAATATTGTTTCGTTCCTGAGAGCACCCTCCGAAAAAGGTGACATTTTTTGAGATTTTTTGTAACATTTATATCTATTCATGAGTACATCTGTTTTGGTTGAAGTTTATATTATAAGTCGACCTAAGTTTTATCTATTTTTCTTAAAAGAAACAAACTCAAATAGGTGAGTTATCTGTGAGTTGGTTGGGGCAACAAAGTCGAGGAAAATTTCTACTGTTTTTACGATATTGTGCATGTATATAATGGTTGAACAGTTTCTATCAGAAAGCTGAAATTTTGTCCACTGGGAGATCTTATCAAGTACTAACTCTGATAAAATATTCAGCTCTTCAACTAGCTCCTATGGCTCATGGGATCCTCGTCAAAAAAGAAACCTTGATCAAAATCACCATTTTCAAGGAGAGATGTTTATAGCAAAATCAGACCTGCAGAAGTTCTGTCATTATGATTTCAAACTGCATACATAGCACTACAAAGTTCTGCAAAAATTAGGGTGGGACAAACTATATTACCGTTCAGAGCCTTATCTGAAGTTGAGTAAAAGAGCTGTATATTTTTAGCAAAATTCTTTCAGATTTGTTCCGAAATAAATAACAACATGACATAATAGAAAGAAACTTACTATCTACTTTAGGTGAGCACACAATCCTCTACTCATTGAGGTATAAAGATCCTTTGAAAGTGAGGAAAAAAAAATTTCGACAAAAAACCGTGGAGGGGAGCGCAACATTAGTTTCATTATCGAAATCCCTGTATTTCCCTCCATGGTTTTTATCGAAATATTTTTTTCTTACTTTCAAAGGATCTTTATGCCTCAATGAGTAGAGGATTGTGTGCTCATATATAGTAGATAGTAAGTTCCTTTCTATTATGCAAAATTGTCATTTATTTGTGAACAATTATAAAATAGTTTAGCTTACAATATACCGCTTTTTTTCTCATTTTCAGATAAGGCTGTGCTGAGCAATATGCATGGTCCCATCCCAATTTTTGCAGGACTTTGTAGTACCATGTGTACAGTTTGAAACCACCAAGACAGAACTTCTACAGACCTGATTTTGGTATAAATATCTCTCCCCAAAAATGGTCATTTTGATGAAAATCGCATTTTTGACGAGAATCACTTTCGTCTTAGGGGTTAGCTACGGAGCTAAAATTTCTATCGGAGTAAGTACTTATCAAGATCTGATTGCAGCCTAAATTTCAGTTCTCTTATATGATTCGTTCAAGCCGATAGGTACACGCACAAAATCGCGAAAAGTGAGGAATTTTTCATGAATTCTGTTATTGCAGTCAACTGTTTCACGATTCAAGCAGTTCCCATGTCGCGAATACCACTTCAATTTTTGCGGTAAACCGCGGTAATTTTAGAAAAGCGGTAAATTTATATGAAATGGGAGCCGGTAACCGGAGCGGTAATACCGCGGTTAACCGCTAGTTTTCCGGTACCCTTTTTATACCGTCATCATATAGGAAAAAAGATGCCTAAAATAGCCCGATCAATGACTTTTAGCAACAATTTTTTATAAACGCTCAGCGAACCGGTTAATCGAAAAATACCGGCGGTAAATTTGTGTTAATGGGAGCCAGTAACCGGAGCGGTAAAGCCGGGGAAAACCGTCAATTTTACTCCGGTTTTTCCAACAGGGGTTGAGTTCGTTTTTTTTGGGAAATATACATCCACTGGAGGTAGGCTGACACCAAATATTCAAACTTAAATTAAAGAACTTTTGAAGAGATATTCATATTCATATCNGGGTTCTATTAATCAATAAGAAACTTGATGATAATCGATAGTAAAGATTTTAAGAATCGATAAAAAAAGATCTATATAATAATCAATAAGAAAGGTTTTAACAATAATCAGTAATATTAAAAAAGACAGATAAATGAAAACACAAAGAGCGAATGGAGAAAGGAAACGAACTATACAATTTGAACTGAACATTATTCATCATTTGGATCAATCACAATGAACACAATACATTATTCTATACTTCATCTGATTATTAGCGCCAACTTCAATTAAAAAAACGTTTATATCGAAAATAAAATTATATATATAAAGGATAGAGACAGGCCAGGCGGCCTGGTGTTTTTAAGCCGCCTGCCTGCCTGTGACAGGCAGGCCCAGTCAGGCAGGCAGGCCTAGTGGCCTGGTTGATGCTCTGCTAGTCACCGTTTGGGGCGGGGATTTTTTTTATTCCAAAAAATATTACACTGGTGGGTTTTGGCAGATTTCACAAAAACTGCACTAGTAAAAAAGCAGTGGTTTTTTTAAGGGTACATCTGGTATTTTGACTTTTTTATCAAAAGGGCAAAAAAAATAAGGAAGCCCAAAACGCTACCCACCCCAAACAGTGTCCAGTACTTGTGAAAAAAGTTTCAATTCGATCGAATATTGGGCCTCTGAGAAACGGGGACGAAAATTTGTGCCATTTTTATCGATTTTGATCCCAATATCTCATAAAGGACACCATTTGGGAGCTTTAATTCTAGCACAACTTTTGATACACTCTACCAGATCTATCTGCCACGAAAGTTTCAAAATTTTCTGATGAGCCATTCTTCCGAAACGCGGGAAGGTGGGGGCACCCTTAATGTTTAAATCCTACTAAGAGACTTTTTCTTTTATTAAAATCGATTAAATTGTTTCTTCTTGGAGTTGATTGTGTCGATTTCTGATTTGAAACCGAATTTCAGTGGATTTTATGTTCAAAATTCATACTAACTTGATTATTTTTTGAAAAACGATACTTCAAGGAATATAAAATTTTGCTACTCCTCATGGAAAAAATCGTGATTTTCACACGTTCGTGAAGCCAGTATCGTACTCGAATAAAACCTGCCCGTATTCTTTTGAGCTATTGTTCCAACACGCATACTCATGTTCCTAGTAGAATTCCTTATGCCCTATCGAATGGTATATTTGGATTAACTTGATGTCGACGTGTTCTCCTGAATTTTCGAAAAGTCCAAAAGATTCCTAGAATTTGCTTTGTAAAATCAAAATTTTCATCTTGCTGAAAACGGTCCCAAAAATCTCAAAATACTGTTTTTTTCTTATGAAATTCTAGCACCATGCTGACCAAAGTCGTTGCTCTAAGTACTCCACTCATGATCGAAATACAACTTGAGTAGATCTATTCAATGATTTCGACAGATCTTTCATAGCTCAAAGTAGGATCTTCTGAGATTTCTTCAGTATTATCTTATCAGCGGTGAAGCCTGATTTCGAGCTACGGAAAATATGTGAACATGGTTGGATAGAGTTCGTGGAGTTCCACTTGGGACATAGGTACAAGAGTTGGAATATTGCTTGAAATAAATATGGTCAGATTTTACTAAAAGGATTCCACGAATTCAATGTGAGTTTTTGCGCTATTTTTTGGATTTTCAGGAGAACGATTCAATGTCTGGTTAATCCAAATATACTATCCGATAGAGTATATGAATTTCTTCTAATACTGTGAGTATGGACGTTGGAACAGCCGCGCAAAGGAGTATCGGTAAGTTTTACTCGAATACGATGATAACTTCACCTAACCGATGGTCACTTAATACTTTCCACTGATATAATTAGCTTGTGTAAACTATAATCTAAAAAAATGGTACAATACTGAGAGCGAACTGTTAGCCATCATTGTAAACGGCCGTTTACGAACGGATACGATAGAAAGGCGGCAATCGTTTTTTGAACCATTTACGGTCATCAGATACAACCGTTTACTGTGATATCCGACAGTCGTTTACAGTCAGCGTTTAGTTACGGTGACCGTTTACGAAGATTTCCCACGATTCTCGTTTACGACTCAGGACGATCGACCTGGGCGGATAAAAAATATTCTAATAAAAAAGCTACGGGTGTTTCAAGACTTCATGATTGATTTTCTATCATTTTCCAAATATGGCATGCGAACAATGCAATCAGAAAGAGATTTTTCGTAGTATTGTTAAAGATAGCTCTACTGAGAATAGTAGTGACATCTACCCATACGTTGACTTTTTTTTTCACTACCTATAGTTGTACTTGATAATCAATAAGAAGTTAAACAACTATCCTCGTGTATATGGATCCGCATAGATAGATTTCTTTCAATAATAAATATGAATTATCATTGGGAACATTCTAATTAATTCCAAATGTCTTAGTTTTGATTATCGTGTCTTATAAATAGAAACTAATTAATTCTCAGAGACCAGGGAACACTTTACGCCTTATTTTTCTCTTCAATTGTTTCCTTCTTATTTCAGAAATAGAACGAGCAAAAAAAGAAATTCAAGCTTCAATTACTTATAATGTAATAAACATCTTCATGTTTTCTCGACCTATGAAGTGATTCTGAGCTGGTTACAGAGTGCATAAAAAATAGAAGAGTGAGCACTCCTTTTAATTTCTTGATTGATAAATCAACTACAGAGGTATTTCAAGTTTTGTTAATCATTTTTTCGAAGAATAAGTCATCTGTGTAGAAATCTCTTTTTTTTTAATCTAGAATATTTCTTTTTCATGTTTGGCATGATAGTCAATAGGAACATTTGGTAATTCATTTACATGGTGAAATAGATATATCGGTCAATTTCAAACACACTATAAAATATAGAAAATATGCGGAATTAATTGATATTTGGACTTTTTCAATTATATATATGCATGATACAATACTTCAAATTCACTGTTGTCTGTCGATGGTAGTGGATGGATAAGTCAAATATTGATGCATTTCTTTTTATTGTCGAATCAGGATTTATTATTTTTGGTAAGTAGTAAGGACTAGGACCGGC